CATATTACTTTAATTAAGTAATTTATCCAGTTATAGAAATTGAATAAAACTCAATTTTATTCCATACTTTACTGTCAAAGTTGTCTATTTAGATTCACTTTTAAAAATTCTTTTAGAAACTCTGTTTAAATTATTTTTTAAAAAATTCATTTAAAGTCATTCTGCATAACTTTTCGTGCGAAAAATCTATTTAAATTTCTTTCTTTCTCAATGAATCTGGTTTAAGTTTTTGTAAAAATGTAAATTTAAATTTTTTTCTTCAATAAAAATAAAAATCATTTAAATAGATTTTCGCAAAAACGAAAATCAGATTCATTGAGAAAGGAATTTCAATAGATTTTTCGCACGAAAAGTTACGCAGGATGAATCTAAATAAATTTTTTAAAAAATAATTTAAAAAGAGTTTCTAAAAGAATTTTTAAAAAATGAATTTCAATAGACTTTTTTCCAAAAAAGTCGATTTAAATTGATTTTTGCATTAAAAAAATAATAAATAAAGATAAATGGCACATTTCTTTAAAAATTGCCGCAATGGGTTGCTCAAGAATAATCACAGAAAATAGGAAAAAATTACTTGGTCAATTGAGATGACTATTTACATGTTTAAACGATGATCAATATCATTTTTGAGACATAGTACCACCAAACGGCGATAAAACCTGATAAGAGAAGACATCCGATGGTGCCGAAGAAGCAATGGGAATGTTCATCATATGCTGAATATTTATTGCATCCGTAAGTGCCGTTCTCTTGGAAAAGAGAAAAAGCTGTAGAGGATAGATAATAACAGTAGACGCTTACTTTTGCAGAAGAAGGTGCTGCTACTAACGGTTCATTATTTTCGAACATGTCTAATGTATAGGTTGCAGCATGAGATCGCTAAAATACCTTCGTATTTAGAAGTCTGGATTAGAATAGTGAATACTCACTTTGACAGCTCTCGTTTTTCCTGTTGAGGATGTACTTGTTCTTGACTGAGCTGACGACGGTGACTAAGCGACATATGCATGAATAAATACATATAACAAAGCAAAAATGTTTCCTACCTTTTGTTTATCCAACTTTGATGGCTGCTTTTTTCCGGTTTTCTTAACGCCCACTTCTGCTCGCGCTGCTTTTCTAACACGCGAGAGATTGGGTTCTGGTTCTTTTTGTTGTTGATTCACTCCCCATGATCGTTTCGCAGC